CTTCTTCTTCTTCCTCTTCTCCTTCTTCCTCTTCTCCGTTTTCTTTTTATTCTTCTTCTTCTTCTTCTTCCTCTAATTCATCTTTTTCATGTTTATTTTCTTGTCCTTTCTCTCAGTCTATACCTTCTTACTTTCTCTCTATCTCCTCAGTCTTCTTCTTCTTCCTTTTCTTATTTATTCTTTTTCTGTTTTCCTCCTACTTTTTTCTTCTTATTTATCCTGTTCTACTTTCTCTCTTTTCTCTCTCCTCTCTCTCTCTCTATCTCTCTCTCTTTCTATCTTACTTCTCCTCTTTAACTTGACAGAGATAGCAGTGTATCGATAAACACAATCTTTATGAGAAACAAAAATGTAATGCACAATCAATGAAGGGAAAGTAATCTCTAAACAGCAAGATTTCAAATTGTGATTATCACACAATTTGCATAAAATCCTCCAAAGAACATATAATGGTATTCTCAACAGCCAGCAAGCCATTAGATTCAAACATCAGATAATATTTCAAGTATTGCGTTTTCTGGCATTAAGTACAATTAGGCCCATGGTGCCGGGCTAGTTCACATTATGATATTAACAAGTCGTCATTTGTGTGATGCAGCTGGCCCTTCTCTCTCTCTCTCCCTCCCTCCCTCCCTCCCTCCATCCCTCCCTCCCTCTCTCCCTCCCTCCATCCCTCCCTCCCTCTCTCTTTCTCATTTGTACCCCCTGATTCGTCTTTCTTCTTTAGTGCAATTTGATTTGAGTTTATCACTATCATTCTTCAATTTCAATTTCTGTCGGTACGTACCAAACGATGAGTATGATGAAAGTAAGTTGTTCGACTAATTATTGACGATTGATTATGGATTTATGCACAGTTACAACAGACAAGGAAATTCCATGTCAATACAGTAGAAGTGTGAACGCCCCCATGGTCATATTTGCTTAAAAGTCATCCAATCCTCCTCCTCCTCCTGTCATTGAATACCCCCCTTCTACCATCTTCTTTTAGATCAGTTTTACACCAAAAAGGCCTCCAGAATATTGAATATTGAATGATAAATTCTCTTAGGGGTGTACGTTGACCTTGATTCTCCTTTGATCTTGGAAAGCGATACCCCTTTCCTGTGTTCATCTATCTCGGCGGGCGTTGGATGGTAGATGGATCCAAGGGGGGGGGGGAAGGACATGTAACGCCATCCTCTTTGGTCTTGTTCACACTACACAATAAAAGTGTTCTTGTATTGCAGAGGAAGGCTTGGGTAGGACCCTCGTCTCTGTTTGTGTTCACAATCACCATAATATTTTAGTTGATTTTGCCTTTCTGAAGTATTTTTTCTTCTCATTGCTTAAAAGTGATATATGACTATGTATACAGAAAACATCATTTGACTTCCAGTTTATTAAGCTACGATCACAAAGGTTCGTACGAACGATGCGTTTGTACGAATCTCCCCGTTTTTCTATGGTCTTCCCGAATTTCAATGGTATGAAAATCGTTCGTACGGCGTTCGTAGCCGTTCGTAGCCGTTCGTAATGGTATTTGTGGCCGAGACTTTAAACCAGCTTTGACTGTTTTCATATTAATGCTCAGATCACAATGATGTTAGAGAAGTTGGATCCATTTTGTCTTGGGAGAAAAGGAGATTAGATATTAAATAGATAGGTGTTAATTAATTATGCTGATAATGATCAATAATATTCTGGGAAGGGCAGGGGGGGGGGGGGTTACCATCCTCTTGATATCTTTTCATATACACTTCCTTGTGAAAGGTGCATTATCCCATTAGTTTTGGTGAATGTGAAATGGGCTTCAAGGTCACATGAACGTGAGATCTAGGGAGAAAAGTGGGAGTCGGCCGGTCGGTCGGTCGTGCCATCTTCATCTTCCTCTCTTGTGCTTGGCGATCATACAAGAGATACACGGAGGTGTAAAAATGATCAGTAGAAAGATAGAGAACAAAGACATGGAAAGGAACAAAGGGGAAGGAACAAAGGGAAAGAGAGAAGGAAGAACTGAAGATAGAAGAGGGGAAGACAGAGTGGTAGAGAGGTGGATAAAGATGTAGGCAAAAATTGAAACAAAATACTGAGATGGGGAGGGGGGGGGGGAGAAACTGGTAGGTTAGGTTTGGGGACAAATTGAAAAGAAGGGAAGGAGGAAATATAAATTTTCAAAAGATTTATGTCATGAAATCTAGTATTGCAAGCACAAAAGTGCATTGAACACTGGCTTTGCCATTTAAAAGAACTCAAAAAGTATTTTTATTCCATTGTTGCTGCTAAAAGCATTAAAAGTTGTAGTAAATTCAACCAATAATCTCTCTATAAAACTGTCCCAATTTCTCTTAATCTCATGCGTCATTAGGCCGCATACAGTGTGTGAAAGTTGGGTATGTGGTCAAGGCAAGAAACTGCTTTTTTCAGAGCTCAAGATGACTGACTGGTTTGAAAAAGGCAAAAAGTTTTTTAGAACGTGCCGCAGAAACTCCAACTTCAACCCCGAACCTAAAAATAATTCTGCCAAATGTGGTAGATCATCAGCGGGTCTGAATTATCCCAGTTGGTAAAACCACTGGATGCCAATTACCTGCAAATGCGGTTTGACAAATTGGTGTGAGGCAACGTGTGTCCCCATTGAGTCCCTCCCCCATTCACATGCTATAGGCTTGGTGGGGCAGTGTGGTTGCCTTTGTCGTGTGAAATCCTGTCCGTGTATTTAAAAGGTGTCCCCATGTGATATGATTTCAATGTTGTTACTTTGTCGCTGTTATGATGTAATCCATACCCCATTTGATACCAAGCGAGAAGTCCTCCTTGTTTCATTGGTGTTTTGTGAGATTTGAAGTTCATCAGGGGGGGGGGGGGGTTGATCCAGGATGGCTCAGTGGTTGGGGTAGTGGACTCCAAGCTATTAGGTTCCGGGTTCAATACCAAGCCAGAATGCAATAATGTCATGCGTAAAGTTATAGATTCTCCATAACCTCCTCCCTTGAGTAAAATTGAATGCCATAGGTCCGTTGTAACCATAGAAAGTTAGAAAAGTGAAACTGACTGTTCTTGCTCCTGTTTATAGGCAATGTGACAAAAAGAGGAAATAGGAAAGAATAGAATAAGCATTATTTGCATTATATTATATTTGGGTGAAATACCTGTAGGTCCTAATTGTTTCACACGACCGGATACAGAAGGCATTAGCAACACGTGCTACGTCCTAGACGAGTCTAGGAGCGGGCAAACCCAACAAGTATAACCCCGTCAAGAAAACGCATGGGGCCGATGTCTTGGGCTCCCTGATTGCATTTCATTGTGTCCAGACCAGAATGTAAGATCAAATACGCCGTGACATGTGACAAGCGGCCATTTATACGACCGTCTCTCCATATTATAACGCCAGACGACGGGTAGACCTCTCTAAACGAAGCGGAAGGGCAATTCATTATTCCGTCCCTCTCCCCTCCTTCCCGCAAAATTCCAGACGCGATCAAGATAGAGTGTTCCTTTGCGACGAAGCAGTGTTAAATACATCATTCTATCCCGTCCCTTTACTCTCACCGATTGTGAAGAGCATCTACAAACCAGATGCGTTAAAGTGAAAGTATAGTGAAGGCATACCATGAAGCCCATGCTATTCCACAGTGTTGAAGTTGTACTACAGTAGGAATATATCATCTTTTAACCGTATATACTTTTACGTAGAGTTTAACACACCCCTGACTCTCAAGAGACGATATATAGCCTTGTGAAATATATGCATTGCAAGTTGGGACTGTATGGACTCCACGAGGCAAGTTAGTGTACCTTTGTAGTTTTGGTATGTGTATCTTAGTATATGCATTTGCATTTTTTCAAGAAGATGATGTAATGTACAAAATTAAGAAAACTTTTTCATTGGAATATACCGGTATATGTAAAGTAATCATCAATGAATTTAGATTTTGATGATAGCTTCCCCCCCCCCCCCCCAAAAAAAAGCCCAAATTTTTCTTACCTTTCCTTTTTTTTTGGGGGGGGGGGGTGTGAGGAAGGGGGGGGGGGTATGTTGGTTTAATATGAATAGGAACAAGTAGCCATGGTATCTATAAGAAAAAATTGTTAAAGGTTAGTGATCATTACTTGTTTTAAGCCCTGTCTATTGTATTGTCTAATACCAAGACAAAAAAAAGAAGTTAATCCTGCCTTTAAAATGAGCTATTATCGAGCATGTTGGTGGATAGCCATGGATGAGACAGAAACCATCATTGGTGGCGTATCATTCAGCACTTTGGGTGTTTGGCTCGTAATCATAATATCTTTGATTGAATAAAGTGATTTACTCCAGTCTGTTTTAACCATTGCAATGTGCACTGATGAGAATAAAGAAGAAATTAATGGACCAGTGTGATGGTATTCACACTTGCGGATATGTCAATGGGAAAAAATGGTGTTCAACAAACGAGCTTCAGAAATATAAAAATTGTTCTAAATTTCTCTCAATTGTGATGTGTTCTCCTTTACTTTTTCTTTATTTGTTTCCATCCTGTTTGATATTTCTACAACTTCAGATTTTATCCTGTTCTACTTCCATTTCTATCATCTCTCTCTCTCTCTCTCTCTCTCTCTCTCTCTCTCTCTCTCTCTCTCTCCCTCTCTCTCTCTCTCTCTCTCTGAGTATTCTACAATGTGTCTGGACAGAGAATAGCTCATTGTGAAATTTATTGCTTGCAATTTTTTCTGCCAAATCTTTTAGTGAAAGAATTTTGTACTGTAAGTTTGAATTTTTACTCTTGAGATTTGATTAATGATTCAAATTCATGGATGCATATCCATGAATATGTAAATTTATGTGGAGGCTGAATATATTTTTAATGAAGGGAACATTGTGCACCACCTCTATCCAAGTCTCTGATGTTCTGTAAGAGATCGTTCTGTATATCTTTTGATTTTGTACCAATATCTCTTACTTGTTATCCCTTTTTTGTGTTTTGTTGACCTCATCTACAGTTTTAAACATTTGTTTTTTTCTTCTTTTATTTCTACAGGCGCACTCTTTCTCTGAAGTAGCAGCGGCATGTACCCATTCTGAAGAGGTAAATCCATTTTTTGTTCATCCTAAAACTGAGGATAAAATCAAACATCAAACATTTGTATCATTTATGGTATTGTAGTAATACTATTGGCTTTTCTTCAGTTTGGATATTGTATACCATTTACAATCAGAGTAGAAACATTTGCAAAGTAAACTAAATTGGTAACGACTGTTTTCTTGACAAGAGACACGTGCTTGCACCAAGTTTGCACACACACAAAAGTAAATCAGTGTTGTGTTTCATTATTTCATAGCATGAAATTTCTGCAGATTTGGACCACTCACAAAATTATCCAATATTTTGTGCATGCAAAGTGTTGTTCTTTTAAGAGTAGAGTGGATATGTTATCCTTGACACAGAATGGAAGAAGTTTTTTTTTTTTTTTTTTTGTGGTTTTCTTAGGAGGATATGAGGTTTGGAGCTTAATGAGTTAATATCTAATGTAGATCACATATCATAACCTCCTAATCTTTCCTCTTCCATTTTGCAACATCAAAGCAGTTAAATTATGTTACAGGGAAACATTTACTGCCCCTATCTTAACCATTTGCAATGTTATAGGTGATAGTTAGTACGGTAATGAATTGTTTACAAACCAAGAACCATTTTCAGTTAAACAGAAATCAAGAAAAGCATATTGTACTTGATATATTTTTATAATAAGCAGTACATATAGAGGCCATTATTGCAGGTAGCTTTTTTTTTTTTTTTTACTGTTCCGGTAGTTTTATTGCCTCATTCATACCCCAGTCATATACTAAACAGACCAACACCAGACCGGCAATATACAGAACCAAAAAATTACCTTACCTCGAATGGTTGCCGTGTGAAGTCAGTTTGGCAGTGTGACTGAGGTATTACATGCAAAGTTTTGACATTTATTTTTTATAGACTGTAAAATTGCTTAGGCAGAAAAAGTGTTTGAATTTATAATAAAGTTGTTTTTTCTGTCTCTTTTGATCCACAGGGAGATCTGTTTGGCTGTTTGGACAGATATGAAAGTAAGTTATCCACTCAATTTTTGTAGCCATTTCCTCCCCAGAGTTTAGGGGTTTCGCAGTAATGTTTAGAGGGAGGGAAGGATAGGGGGAACGGAGAACAGCAAGATAGAGGGAAGAAACTAAAAAATCAAGTAGAATAGGTTGTCGGTTGAGAGAGGGATAGAAGAAGATGGATATAGATTGAAATAGAGATACACTGTAGTTATAGACAGATCAGGGAAGAAGAGTAAATGGTAGAAGGGGTTTTTAAAAAAAGGAGGGAAAGAGTGAGAGAGAGATATAGAGATAGAGATAGAGGGGTGAGAGAGAAGGAGAGAGAGAGCTATAAAGAGAGGTGAGGAAAGATTGATGGAAAACAGAGATTGATAGATATATAGAGAAAAGCGGGAAGGGTGAGGGAAAAAATGATTTTATTTAAAAAAACAAGAAAGAGTGAGGGGAAGTTGGAAGAATAAAAGATAGAGAGATGGGTCGGGCAAGAGAGGTTTAAGGTTATGAGAAAATCAAAAAGTAAGGAGAAAGAGAGAGAGAAAAAAAAAGAGATGAAGAGAAGTACATAAATGATGAAAGAGGGGAGAGGGATAGAGAGCCCCCGTCAAAACATTGCAAGCGAAACTGTGAACTAATCAGAAAAAATGATGAAAAAAAGAAACTCCTCTTCCTCTGCGCTTGAAGAGAGACGTTAGGATATGTGCCACCTCTCTCACCGTTTGCAGTAATCCGTGAATTTCTTGCCTGCCAGACTCATTGGTATGGTGATGGACAGAACGTAAAGAAAAAACACCAACCAAGTGTGGCAGTCATTGTTTTTTCTTTGTCTTTTTATAATCGAATGTGCCGAATGAGGAATTCAAATAACTTGTGTCTGTGGGATGGGGTTGGGTGTGATTGCATGTTACGTGCTGGATAACGGCAAATTCAGTATTGTGTAAAATGGATAGGTGCAGTTTTGAAAAACAAGCAATAAAAAAGGGTGGAATATACTTGTATACTGAAAGAATTGAAGGAACATTGTATTGTTTTTAAGGGGCACAGGCCGGTTGTGACCCCCCTTAAATCTGCCCCTGATTTCAATGATAATATAAGGTAATATTTTTGTTAAAATTGTGAGGGGTTGAAGTAGTGCAGCACAGGAGAATCTCATGTTGCAGAGAAAGTTGGTTTTATCTGTGAAAAATACGGGAAAACTCTTACATCTACTCTCTCCTCTCCCAGTTCAAAAAATGAAGACACTAAACATTACAAATATTAAGACATTAATGCCCCTTTATAAACAGGAACAATGTTATTATTTGCTTGTATCAGATGATCTCTGCAGGAAAAATAACTTGAGCAAGACCCTACAGCTTTGAATAATATTTTGTATCTAGTTTGTTTGAATTGATGTAGAAAAATGCAATTCTATATCAATTTGATAAATTTATGAGGCAATAGGAAACTGTATAAGACGAATGTAAAATACAAAGTAGGGATACAACTGGACAGAAATGATACAGAACAAAGAAAAGATAAAATTGAAAGGACGGTGTGAGGTAAAAGCAAGAGAAATAATGGCAAAAAGAGAATAGGAAGGATCGTGTGAGGGGAAAAAGTGAGGGAAAGACCGGGTATAAATACATTTAGCTCAAGCTGGCTTGGAAAACAATCTCAATCCATGATTAGGTGTGAACGACATCGCATTGAGTGACGCGGCATAAATTTTGGAAGCGGGACGATCATCATCGTGGGATGTGGGTGGTTTGTTCGATCCCGGGCTCTCATTTTGGGTTTGGGTGTTTGGCAGTGCGTGTATGGGAATGGTGATGAATTCAATTTAGGGTCGAAAGGTGACAATGTCCTCAGAAAGTAAGAATTTCTTGTAATAATATATTTCAATAATTTATTTATGAGTACAGTGTATTTGTATACTAAAAATGAATATGTACATATATTTTGTCATGATTTCTGTAATAATATCTGTAATACCTTTGTTTATCCTTCTGTTGGAAATGAAATAAAATACAAATTGAAATTGAAATGTAAAGTTTTTTATTTCAATGTATTTAATTTACATGAACGGGTAAGATATGATGTGATAAGATAGATAAATTACGCTGATCTGTGGTATTTTTTCTATACATATTCATTTTTCTTGAGTGTCTAAAATTCATAACATTCTTCATATTTGTTGGTTAATTAAACCTTCATGTTAAGCCTCTCACTACCACAGACACAAAGATGTGTAGAAGTACATGTATAAAGTCAATGGGGTTAAAGCTTGGGAATGTGAGGGTTAATATCTGTTTCTCTAATAATTTCTGCCCTTAATCAAATCAGCAGGGGTAATTGAGTTTGAGTTTTGAAGTAGCCCTATACAATTCAGAGTGATATAAAAGTTGGCCTATATAATCTTCTCACTCAACACCGTATACCTTTATTCATCAGTCTTTTATTCAAGCCTTAAATATAATTCAAGGCGAATTGAGATACATGTATATCAGGAAAACCCATTATGAATAACTTGCTTTTCCATTCGCAATACTTCTTTTTTAATTCTTTTTTTTTCTTCTTCAAAGTTGGCCTCATGGAATTAATAAATGGCTTTAGTTTATGAACATGGTATATTATCAAACATCTGGACAAGTGCTCTCGACTCATTCCCACCTATTGCTTTTTATGTTTGTTTTATGGTGAGCTACGATGTACTTGAACTTTGGAGTTTGTTATTTCTCGCCAATCAGCTTAATTGCGACTGAAATGAAATGTTGAATGATTTTTCACGGCCGTAGAATAATTGACTTCACAGGCTTACTTAGAATATGCAGGTTGTGTGGGAATGGACATTGCCTTCATGTAATTTGATTGCACATACACTATACCTGAAACAATACAATTAATTACAATATGATCCTGCTATACTGTTACTTGTATTATACCTGGTTGTTGCTTAAAATATTATACTTGCGGGATAGATCAATGTGTTTGAGATTATCTGCTGAGAACCAGAAGAGTGTTAACAATGTACATGTAGCACAAGATTTTAGATCATATTGTTTTAGAGAAATAAAAGGCTGTTAACTATAATTAAGAGTTTATGGGTCATGCTTCTCTGCAACACAATATGATCTATCTGTCTATCTATCTGTCTGTCTATCTATCTATATATATCTTTGTCTGTCTATCTTTCTATCTATCTATCTGTCTGTCTGTCTATCTATCAATCTATTGACCAATCTATCTATCTACCTAGCACATATATACCTATCTATATATCTATACATTTATCTATATATCTGTCTGTCTGTCTATCTATCTGTCTATCTATCTATATTTCTCCATCTATCTTTCTCTATCTATCTCTCTGTCTATCTATCTAATGGGTGTTAGCAGAGAAACTCTTAATAGTTTGCATAAGGCCTTTCTGCAGGGCACTTGGCAATAGAACACATCATCTGTTTGGAGCAAGAAAAGCACTAACCCTGTGTAACATGATATGCTTTAATGCCCTTCTGTCTCCAAACAGACAGTATACCCAGATAGCAACCTCTTTTGTCTTATTTTTTTTTATTGCTTTCTGAAATACTCTAAAAATATAGTAAGAGTTTCAAATCTAAGAATTTTATCTAAAGTATATGATGTTTAACCAACATTTAAACTTTTAATCTTTCTTTTTATTTTCATTTAGGGCGTGAATCTTGCTGCAGCCTGGCTCACGAAGGTACCCAGTGTCGGAATAAATGCGAGGACGTCTTTGACTCGCCCCTCCCGACGGATAACATGGGGCTGGACATAGAGATCTACTGTTCCGATGAGCGCATCAAGCAATGTGTTTATAATTACACCAACATCATGGCTCCAAGACATAACCCCAGAGATAGTAAGTGAAGGATCTTTACGTGGGTGGTTTTTAAGAGGTTAAAAAGAAGGAAGAGGAGAGGAGGATGGCAATGATGATGATGATGATAATGATGATGTCCGATGATAGACCCCTGATCTAGATGTTGGGAGGTCACAATGATGATGATGATGGTGATGGTGATGGTGATGGTGGTCGTCATATCAATGATGGTGGTGATATTGATGATGATGATGATATTTAGTGACAATGATAATGATGATGATAGTGATGATGATGATGATGATGATGATGAGGATGATGATGATATCATATTACTAATACTATTTAGATAACAGTATGACTATTTATGTGTTGTATACTTATAAATGGTTTTTTCAGTTAAGAGTGTTACATTCTCCGGCCATTTGATTCAATCATGATTCCAAAGCCCACCGCTGCCACCATGTTGAATGATCAATGGACAGATAAATAAAAGATCATTGTAGACAATGTTCATGTATAAGTGACCATCTTGAAAGTGCTTTACTTCTAGTATTCCTCCGCCAATAGCGGCCTCATTACGCAAATCAATGAATTATTGGTGTTGTTCATATAGTACCACAACGGTACTTACATTGTATAGTCATAGTGCACACAATTCATGTTCTCGTCCTACTTTATACAAGTGAGTTTCATCCAAACTCTCTTCCTCCCTCTCAGGTTTACACTGCTGTGAGCGTTCCACGAGACCTAGATGTCGGGAGGTCTGTCGTCGGACATTAACAAACCTGACATCAGAGGGCGCTATTATGAATGCCTTGGAAGAGGGATGCGATCAACCTGTGCCCAACGATGCAATGTGGAGGTGTTTTCTTCTCGTATCAGGTACAGTTTATCATTAGTAATTCAAGTAGTGGAAGGCGTCATAGTTGAGTGGTTCAATCACTAGACTTGGAATGCCAAGGTCGTTGGTTCAACCCCCCCCCCCCAGCACAGCACTTAAGTCCTTGAGCAAGGCATTTTATTTGCATTGCTCCTCTCCACCTATGTTTCTAAGGGCTTTAAATTTTGGATGATCAGTTGGCCTATTTATCCTCCCATTTTCATATCTTTAGTTTTGACAGTTTTTATCTTCCTTTTTCTGTTGTAAATATAGTTAACTTGGATTAAAGATCTGCAATAAAAGCTGAAATTGATTTTATATTAATGACGTAGTGTTTACAATCTTTGATTCAAATATACTGAAGCTTTTCATGTTAAACTCATGAGAGTACAGAGCAAGAAGGAACAGAAATCCCAATTAAAAAAATGCAAGCGGGATAGATGTACATTGGAAGGAAACCTGTTAAAATTTGTAAAGTTGATCATCTCTTTAGATCATGGTTTCTCCATTGTTTTTTTTGTCTCTTTTCTTCACTGTCCATCAGCTGGCAACGAGATCAGTCATCCTGAAATAGGCCCCACCAACCCTGGTGCTCTAGATGGGGCCAACCTTCAGTGCTGTCTGAGGGCTATCAGCTCACGATGCAGGGATATCTGTGTCAAGGTAAGCAAGACAGGAGGAGGAGGAGGAGGAGGGGCAGTGGAGGGGCAGGGGGAGGGACAGGGGCAGTAGTGTTGTTAGACACAACGTTGATGGCAATCAGCAAGAGGATTATATTGTGATTATGATTATGACAGTGCTGATAAAGAGGATGATGGGTATGATGTTGTTGATAATGATGTATTCTGAAGAAATGCAGAAAGAAGTTTTATTACCTTCATCAAGCAAAAATTCTTGTTTCTCCATTCAGCTCTACACCCCATCATTGTCCAACAGGGACACATGGAATGAGTTTGATGAACATTGTCGCTATCAGCCAGCTGAGGAAGCACTTCTTACCTGCTTAGCAGATGGTATGTTCTACATTTCTATCAATCACTGTGCATGGACGAAGGTTCCATTATGACTTAGAGGGGGTTAGATTGAACAAATAATCAATCAGGGTATTGAATTATATGTAAAGCATATGTACATGGATATCACTCCCTTTCCTCACTTCATTTATTAGATAACAAAAATATTCTTCATAGAAGCAAGCTTTTCCTCCCACGTTTATTAGCATCATCCATGACATACGGTAATTGCAACAATGACAACAACCTATCCTTTGGCACACTTCTGTTCGAATGTAATTATGTTTGTTTGTTTGTTTCATTCCTACCTACTTCATTCTACAGTTGAAGAACCATGCAAGGCCGGGTGCAGTGGACTGGATTATTGTGCACACTTCAATAACAGGTCAGTATAACAATGCTATTAAAGAGACACATATTTTGAAACATTCCTAAGATAAAAAGTAAATCTGTTCTCTCTCTCTATATATAAAGATGACATATGCTCCCTTGCCCAACCTTTGACATTTTCCTTTGTATTATCTCTCCAACAGACCTACAGATCTTTTCAGAAGCTGTTCAATCCGCTCCGATGAGGGCGCCGCCTACGACATGCAGCTGTGGAGCGAGGGCCTGATCCGGATGCCTTTCATGAACATTCCCGTGCTCAACATTGCAGAGTGTGAGTCCGACATGTGGAAGACCATAGCATGCACACTGCAGGTCAAGCCATGTCATCGTAAAACCCATACCAATATGATCTGCAAGTAAGTTCAAGCCTCTTTTATCAAGTTTTCTATAAGGAAGGGATTGGGTAACTTTGTCTCAGATTCTGAAACAAAATCCTGGATTTAGCTCATGCTGCAATCATAATGATAAACCTTTAGGTCAGTCAGGAATCTCATGACTTTTACAAGCCGATCGCCTGTCTGATTATCAAGATATTTATAATTGGAAATCGAAATCAAATTTTGCGTTTTCCTAACCGTTTTTATAACACTACAGTCTATTGGGGGAAAAGAGTATGGTAAAACCGGTCACTCAAAGATTTTTAATTTTTGGAGGCACTTCCTGATCATTTTGAAGCACAATTTTTTAGGGCTTCAATATTACACCATATCACAGACACTGATACCATGTAGGGCCATGCATCTCAGATTTAACATTGTTAAACGATGCCTTTAATATCAAATGCAAATTATCAGATGCTTTATATTTGATCAAAATTACTGTAGTGCAGTGGTTTGATCATATTCCATAATCAATCATCAACCATTTTTTAAAAATCCTGCACAGATCTGACTGCATCCACATACTCAGCAAGTGCATTGACCACACCCGCTTGGCAAAGGGCGTCGACCCCGTGGGATTATGCAACATCTTGTCCCCATTTGATGACAATGCCCCCTGTGTGTCCCTGAACCCCTTCCTGGACCCCAGCCAGCACCACGCCTCTTACCTGGACATCACCACGCCCTGCCAGTCGGACCCCTGTAACAACGATACGGAGGTGGCGAATGGGGTGTGCTCGGTGAATAGGAAGATGTGTGGCCATCGGGAGGTTTGCCAACATCATACATGCAACAGAGGTGGGTAACAAGGAAAAGACTGGGGGAGGGGGGCAGGAGGGGGCGGGGCAGACCCTTGGTAACAATGATACAGAGGTGGCAAACAGGGTCTGCCACTATTATTATACAAATAATGAATGGTTATGAGTTCAATAGTGCGAATATGTTCATGAGTTGAAAGATTAACATTCTATTCAATGAGGCGTCAGCCGAGTTGAATAGAATTAACGTTAATCTTTCAACGAATGAAAATATTTGCACTATTAAACGAATGAAAAACATTCATTATTTGTTTTATACAACATCGAAGAAGACCTAATAGAACGTTAATCAACAAATTATGCTTTACTCCTTATAAAGAAAAATTACAGTTCGAGTCAAGCCTTCTCAATTACATGCAGATTGCCTTCGCGTCAGATACACGCAGGGATACGCGCGCGCACATGCAGCAGAGAGATACGCAGTCTGCATATAACCAAAAATGCACGGCGCATATAACCAAAAATAGACGGCGCATATAACCAAAAATGCACGACCGTGCAATATACCATCTATTGAATATCATGTGACCAACAATCGTCCAATCAAATGACAAGGATCCACGTAGGTGTTGTATAAAATATTATACATGCAACACAGATGGGTATATAGTTTTGTTAGGATAGCTGGGAAATAAATTTGGGTATGGGCAGGATAATGTTGCAATGGAGGAGAGGTTGGGGATGGGGACAGACCCCTGTAACAATGACAATGAGGTGGCGAAAGGGACGTGTGAAACAGGAGGGTAGTTGGGAAATAGAAGGAGGGGTGAGGCTGGGCAAGGTGAGAAGGTGGCTCGAGGGCCAGGTTGGGGGTATAACCTCTAAAATTGGGTGGCCAAGAGATAAGTGAGGAGTACATGCTTGTTCCAACATGCTGCCAAGAAAACCTCTTTAGCAATACTCTCTACGATGTGATTACACCATCAGTTTACGACCATCTGTAGGGTGTCTGTAAATTCTGTTTCCCTTGGATTTAATTACTCTCTTTACACAGCTTTGACTGATCATGCACATATCTTTGATCATGACTCTATTAACTATTTCCCTTCTTGACTGTCCTGCAGGTTGTCGTCTTGGAGAGGCATCCTCCTTCCTCGTTCCCATCGGTAGTTACGTGCGTCTGCCAGACTCAGGGGAGAATCTGGACTGCTACCAGTCGTGCGTGTGTGGACCCACCGGACAGCTTGAACACTGCCAACCTCTGCAGTGCGAACGCAGCGAGATGTGCCTCATCAGCGGCCAGATGAAAGGTACGGTGTGAGACAAGTTTCTCAGCAGCAATTTATTAATCCTTGGTCTAAATTGAGTGAAATAACCTCTCTATCAAAAAGAATAGTTTCTCGACAGGAATTCATCAACCCTTGGTTTGAATCGAGTGAAATAACTTCTCCATCAAAAATACTAGTAAAAAAATATGTGTTTCTCAACTGGAATTTATTTACCCTTAGTTTAAATCAAATGAAATAACCTCTCTATACAAAAACTATAGTCAACGTCAAAAAAAATGTATTTCACATCAGGAATGTATTTACCCTTGGTTTAAATTATTAAGATAACTTCTTCATAAAAAAACTGGTCAACAAAAAATGTGTATCTTGACAGGAATTCATTCACCAGTAGTTCAAATTCACTAAAAGGTGATCTATCATAAACACTTGTAAAATCACTTCTCACAGTCAACAACATTTTAAGGTGCCAAAATGTGACTTGGTGATAGCTAAGTCCGGTGCAGAAATATTTCATTTCCAGTCTTTTTACAAAAGAAAATAATGTAGAGTGGGTTTAATGATACACTTGTTTGTGTAAACAATAACAAAAGTGTGTGGACTTCCTTCCCCTTCTCTTTACAGGAAACCAACCGTACTTCTAACCTTATTTCTAACCCTTGTCGTCCATTTCCTCTTTTCTGCAGAACACGCCAGTCACTTCCACATTGACTGCAATCTGTGTGTGTGTTTTGGCGGCAATGAGATCTGCTCCAAACGACAGTGCTTGACCTCCGAGATGACCTCTGAAGAGAGGAGACGTTACACCGGCCTGCCCTGCGACTGCACCGATCAGTTTGTTCCAGTCTGCGCCAAAAATGGCAAGACGTACCCCAGCGCTTGCATTGCCAAGTGAGTTTCACTGAAATAATTCATTAATTGGTCCTTTGAAATCTTTTATAATGCAGAATGATGGAACAAGATGATCAAGGCATAGGAAAATAATACTAAAATTTCAACCATCAGAATTGTCTGTATTTAAAGTACTTGTACATGTTTATGAATATATGACTAATTATTCAGTGATAATTTTAAAAAAAACTTCTTATAAAGAGGTGCGATTGATCTAAATAAATCCCAAATTCTCTAATGAATCGCAACTTTGCAGCCTCCTATCTCATATTTACATAGTTGTGATTGATTTTGATCGTAAATAAGTTGCGATTTATTTCAACTCTTTATAAGATTGGGCCCTGGTATAGAAATAATTTTAATTTGCTTTTATACTTGTATGATTTTCTGTCTATATTCTGATAAGTTTCTGATTTTTTTTGTCTCTCCAAAGTTGAGATCCCTTACTGGCTAGGAGACATTAAAATTAACTTGGCCTTTTTAGGGTCAATAATAGATACTTAGACTTATCATGTTGTATCTCTTTCTTCTTTCAGATGCGTTGGTAACTTTAATGACGAGCAGCTTGAAATAGGAACGTGTGCGTTGAATTCACCCTGTCAATCAAACCCGTGTAATCTGGGTTACAGGTAAGAATTGTACTCATAATGACCTCCAGAGCCTCACACAATTCTTAACCTGTCGACCACTAAATTCTGCCAATCCTATAGGTTTAGTACTGCAGCCATCCGATTCCGGGAAGCGAAGGGTTAATACTTTAGTCACAGCAAAAAAACTAACAACAGACCAAACAAACTTTTATATTATCCGCAATGAGGAGTCAAATGAGGAGTTAAAGTGATGATGTTACTAAGGGTAAAATTAGGGCAGTCAAACTTATATTTTTCCAACAATTTGATGGTCTAATCTGATATTATTTAATAAAAAGAAACTTCAGAGATACAAATCGAACAAACAAAAAAATTATTCATATCAAGTCACTGGAAATTATGCACCATAAACATATGGAGTTGCCCTCAACCTTTTGTGTTTGATTAAGTTCAAACAACATGTGCATCCGGTGCAATAACTGTGCTCTGTAACCTTTTTATACATGTCTCCATCCAATCTTTACATGTTTATATTATTGACTCCACTCATTCCTCTAGGCTTAGTATAGGAACCACATATTTCTTGTTCATGAACTTCAAAAATTAAAATTGTACGGTTACATCAGTCATTATATTTATGATAATTTTTGTGATCTCTTTCCCCTTGTTCTTGTCGTAGATGTGTTCCTAAGCGCAGAGTATGCCTCAGCGTGAATTTTGCCGACTGTCCTCAATACGACTGCAGTAAGTTCTTGTTTTAAGCAATATTTTAAAATTATATGTAAGATTGCTATCCGAGTACACTCTCAGACAAGAATGTGATTATCAAAAAAGTAAAAGATATCAGTGTGATATTTCCAGATGTGAGTTTAAAAGAATCAAGCATTGGTCTGAGTTTGCAAATTTGTTCACTCGGCCCTTTTATACTACCAGGTTTTCGGGCAGTGGTTTATAAATTTATCAAACATATTCCATTTCATGTCATTTAAATTCATTTCATAAGATCCATAGATTTGTCACATATATTTATAATGAATGTACCTGTGTCTGGAAGAAAATCATGGACCCAATTAGTCCTTTAACATTGTTCAACACCACTTCTGTCTCAGTATTTTTTCAGGCACAGAAGAGCCTAAAAGGAGTTCATATAACTATTTGAATTGATATCTTGTGGTTAGATTTTCTGACATGATTATCCTCATTTTTTCTTCTCCAAATAGTTATTACGACAGACGATTGTGACCTGGATACCTATGCTCCAGTATGTGACACCAACCATAGAACGCATCCTAACATGTGTACGCTGCATAGCCTCGGAGGAGAGCTGGCCTACAGAGGGCGCTGTCAGGTAAGGATTAAATCCATCTGTTAATCCACAGTTAATCCACATTTAAATTTAATCCACATTTAAAACAAAAATCTGTTAGATATGACCCAATAATGAGTAGCATTCCAGTATTAGCTTTGTTTATTTTTTTTTACTTATTACATTTTCTCAGGATTACCATTTTTAATGTCATTGGTATAACTAGTGTTTGTGTTTAACCTTTCGGTTGCATTCTATGCCTCTCTGCACAGTCGCTCCTTTGCTACACATGCAATTTTGCACACAATAGGCACCAAATGACGGAAGGGTTTTTTCCATGAATGTTACGGGCTGAACAGGGGTCGACAAATCAATTTAGCTAGCTCCAAAATAGTCTTTGCTTTCGTGTAAAACCATTAATTCTAATTTCTCGTATAACCTATTTAGAAAAATGACTTCATATCTTCTGAAGATAAACAAGTTATTGTTTGATATGATTTGATTTGATTTAATTTGATTTATTGGTTTCTGCATCTTTTTTTTCTTTTTCATCATACATTTTCATGAACATAATATGGTTTGATACAATAGTTTAAGTGTATATAATTTTATACAGATAATAAACAAAATTAAACAAATATATTGAATGCATAATTAACATACATTAGATGCAGGAGGGCTACAGAAATAAGCAAAGTAGCTTGACATGCCCGCAGCCCTCAACTTAGATACAACAATAAAAATATAAATAAAAAAGAGTGTGACTTGCAGAGAAGAAAAGGAAAGGGGAGAGAAGGAGCTTTGGTAATAATACATACATCTGCTGATTGAATGCAGGTTCATTCATGAATGGATGAACGATCTTAGTGTTGCTTGGGAGAGGGGGGGGGGGGGGTTGAGTCTGTATAGGGTATTTAATGTTTATATTTGATTTGTATCCCCTTTGTTATCATTTAATATGATACGTTCAGGTTCTTTCTGTTCCACAAGTCTCATACATGTATGCTTTTTTTACAGGTATCCTTTCATCTATTGTTATTCAATGTATGTACAGTCAAACCTGTCTATAGTGACCGCCCATGGGAAACACAAAAAGTGGTCTTTGTAGACAGGTGGTCACTAAAGCAGGTTTGACTGTATTCACGGCTGTTATATGTGTTTTTACGTTGTTGGATGATGAATAAATAAAATCGAAATTGAAATTGAATTGTTATTTTCAGATGGACTGTCATAGCTCGATAAGTCAGCAGGTCTGTGGTCACAACGGAGAGACCTACTCCAGTGAATGCGAGGCATGGAGTGACAGGACTACAGTAGACTACTACGGTCCCTGTCAGGCTGTGGGTACGCTCACAGGTAAGTCATTGTCAATGTTTTAAAGCCCCGCTGCTCTAGTTTGGCCAGGAGGGATAAGACCACCCTGCATGTTCACTGACAGGTGGTCATCTCAGCGAATCAGCTCTCAATTAACATAAGCAAAAGGGGATCATGGGGGACTAATGGTCACGATTAGGCATTGTTTCTATATAGAGGGCGCAAGTAGCTATAACTAGTGCAATGGGGCTTAAAAATAAGCGAAAGAAGATTATCCAACATTTATTACTTTGATATTTGCTCGCGGATGTATTTTGTCATAGATGAAGGGTTATGGTTAAGATTGTGACAGGGTTCAGGTTAGTTAGGTTCAGTGTTGAAGTTAGCAGTTCATTTAGTGTAGGAAATTGACCGCTAAGAAACGGTTGCCAGATAATGTAATTAATTATTACTTAATTATTGCTGAAACTAACCCCTTTTATGAAAAATAAGCCCTTCCACTAAAAAAGAGAGAATTAAAAAAAATATATACCGTATCTATTTCACCTAAGTGAATGATTGAAGTATAATTGTAAAGCGCTTAGAAACATTGTATTAAGCGCTATAGAAATACAATGTATTATTATTATTATTATAACTATTCAGCCCTTTAAATGTCACCTTTACAGTCACAGTGCTAGACCTAAAATTGGTAGATGGACGAATTCTTTATTGACAAACAAGTTTCAGTATTGGGGTTCATCTAGAAATTTTGACTCTTGGGATGGTAAAAGCTATAAGATTTTGAAAGCAAGTTTTTTTGTTAACTGTCACAAAGGGTATAATTTGAGACATTATTTTCTGTCTTTCAGGGGAGGAAGATATAGAGATACAATGCACGACGGTAGACTGCCCAGAAGTTACTGCACCTGATATATGTGTAGCAGTGACACCCCCAGGCAGCTGCTGCCCAATTTGTGGTATGTATTAAAAAATGGTGGAAGACTGTATTATAATATTTTGTTTATTTAATGGTGATTGTAGTGATGTTGACGATGATGATGATGATGATGATGATGATGATGATGATGATGATGATGATGATGATGATGATGATGATGATGATGATGATGATGATGATGATGATGATGATGATGATGATGATGATGATGATGATGATGATGATGATGATGATGATGATGATGATTGTAATGGTGATTATAGAGATGATAATGATTATGTTGATTATGAAAGTGATTGCAATGAGGATTATAATGATTGATAATTATAAAAATTGTTGTACTGATGATGGCATTAGCAGTACTATTTTTTAAATGAATTGTTAGTAACTGACTAAATTGAGTCAAAACTTATTTCAGTGGACTGTTTTATTTGTCAACCAGGCATTCCAAACAGAAGTTATTATAATCATCGCTACAAGTGTCATTGCAATAATCATAACTTCCTTTTATAATGCCTGGTTGACACACAAACAACACAATCCAAACATTTTTGTTTTCACTTAGTCATAGCTAATTACTCTAAGTCATATGGGGTTTACTATCAACTGTATTCATGATCAAAGTAAGTAAGTTAGATTATAATTTTCTGCTCCTCTTTTCTTTTCAGCCGGTCAAGTTCGTATCTTATTCAGCGAGGGTGAGGTAGACAGGGTCGTCACAGCTTCAGGGAGTCGAGGTTTGTCGTTGGACTCGATACTAGACGGGTTACGCAGAGAGGTGGCAGTGGTAAGTGACCTTAGCTGACCCTCGAGTGACCTAAGTTGACCCTTGAGTGACCTAAGTTGACCCTTGGGTGACCAAGATGCAAATAAAAAGTCTAAGCTGTTCACTTTGTGTGGAAGGTTTAACATGAGTTCCAAGTTTTCAAAATTCCCTTCAATGTAGTAGAAAACAAGTAGATTTTTGCCCATTTAAACATTCTAAATTAACTTCAAAACAAGGAAAATTAAAACTATTTATGCAAGGAGGCCCTCCGGTAAACTACCCTTATTTGAAGGATGATTCCATATCATAAATGAACCTTATCGTCTGAATCTTTATATTTTTCTACTCCCATAACGCTTTTCAATTTTTGTTTTTTGGGATATTTTGCCCAAAAGATCTATGTCTTCAATGGTGGACAAACCATTTCCTTTCCTACAATCCAGATAAAAATGAGAAAAAAACAGGGGAAAAAAAAAACAATTAAAGGAAGAGATTACTCCTTTTTTTAAATACAAAGCCCAAGAACCAGGTTAATAATCGAGGCAGCGCCAGGAGCGTGACAACGTAACGGACATTGTGCTATATCAGAAACCACCATTATTATTATTATTATTACTATTATTATTATTATTATTACTCAAAATTATGTATTGAGTGTTTGACTCTCCTGCATAAAATCAAGACCAGGATCTTTTAACTTCCTTAATTCCAAGCAAGTCCTGGTCCATAGCCATAGACGTAGACCTTTACACCAAATCTGAAATGATAATCCCTCATGCTTGTTTTCTCTCTCTCATACTTCTTCACCTTTTCTAGGCCGAGTGTGACCTCTTCGGATATCTGAGTATAGAGGGCGATATTATAGTCTTGATCAAACCTATTGTGATGAATCCTACAATTATTCAGGTATGTCAAGAACTTTCGGTTTTTCTAGGTACTGTCTTTGTTTCTGTTTGAGTAGTTTTGTAACTTCTCACAGTTAAGTATTAGGAAGATTAATGAAATTCAGAAATGAGAAATTAGCATGAGTATGATTTACCATATGGCAGACAAATTAATAAACTGTTATTCTTCAAATTGGCAAGATATAGTTTTTTTCTTTGAATGTATATTCCAACACATGTTATGTAAATGAAATGATATAATTTATATAATAATATACATGACTGCAGCAAAGCAGGGCCAATATATAAATTGATCTTTTTGTAATTTAATTTTCTGAAGCTTGTGTTCCTGAATCAACACTAAAACATAATTTTCATATCAATTTTTTTTTGCATGAATTATAAAACCTGTATGAATATCATAATACATGTATTACATAAATCTTAGATGTAGAATCTGATACATTCAAGTTATAGTGAGTGTGAGAATAGTGAAATTCACTTCATTCTTTCATATTTTATCCTTTATTGCAGATAAAAGCTTGCAATACAGAAGCAGAAAAGATAGAAGCCCTCATAAACAACAGAAGTCCCGTTATATCAGCATACCTCCACCTTAGTCCATTATTAGCAGCAGCTTCAAGAAACCCCCAAGTACTAGAGCCCAACTCGGCGCGCTCAGTACATCAACTTTCAACATTTTGTAGCTTAATTATAGTCTTAAGAACAATCCACGAGCTCTTATACAGAGTCCTAAGGTAGCAGTAAGAAGAATACTAAACATAGAACTTTTATCTTTCCAAAGAAACATGCTATTTAAAAGAGATTTTAACTTCATATTTTATATATGCAAATCTTCAGAAGTGTACATATGAGTTTATATGAATACTGTAAATTAAGAATATTGTATTTATCTTTTTATGTCTATCTCAGCATTTTTCCTAATGCTTGAATCAATGTATTTGTACTGTCGGCTGAAGAAATGTACTGAATGTTTGTTGTCTGTCCTGTCAGAGTGTCTTTAAAATGTTTTTTCTTTTTTCTGAGCTGCTCAATTTTATTTTAACTTTTTAATTTTAACTCTGTATCTGGTGTAGTCAAGTAATGGCACAAACTCTCAACTGCCAAAGTTGACTTTGTGACAAGTACAGAGTGCAGTTCCGGGTTTGATCCCTTGCAAATAGCGTGTTAAGGAAAAGGGGGAGGGGGGTTGTTTGAAGTAATCAGTTTTCTGTTATTTTTAAAAGCTATACGTCTTTTTCTTCTTAACTTACAGTTCTTAAAGGCGTTTACTGTAGATCCATTGTCTTGTTTTGTTAGGATAATTCATACTATCTTTTTCATACAAAATATTACAGTTCATAATAATTATTGTAAATCAGACAACAGTATCACTAGAGGACATATATCCTTCATATTCTTTTTTTTCCCCTTTTATTTTGCTTTTCACTTTGCTTTGTGAAAAGATATGGTGCAAGTATGAGTAAATGGATAGCTTGTTTAGGCCTGAATCTCAAATTGGGTCATTTTTCAAATGAAAGTTAAAAAAAAACACAAACAACTTTTTTTTCACTTGATTTATAATACTTTAAGTAAAATCAAATGTTTGAGCCTTTGAGGGCCATACTTTGTTTGTAGCATCATTTCCGGCGTGAAATATAATTCTTTTCCTATTGATGTGTTTTTCATTCTCAGTGGTTTAAAAATGATAATTCTGCTATTTTAATAATATGATGTTATGTATTGTGTTTGAAATAGTGAGTTCATTCTAGTAGAGCAGTCTACAACTCATCATGTTTATTGTTAACTATTTAATTGTTTTATCTTCCTTCTTATATTTGTTATGTTGTCAAAGTTTGCATTTGTAATTTATTCTTGTTTTGAAAATAGATAGACGCAGTAGGAGTGTTATACTGAAATCTTGTATCATTGCAATCATAGGAGTTATATTCATTTATGATGCTAGAAATAAAAGTTGCTTTAATTCATATTAATTATTACTTTAATTTGTTTATCTTCCATCTATTTATGGAAGAAAGTGAGTATTGCTTCTCAGAATCTTTCAAATTTTGAATTTGCCTTTCATTTTGTTCTTCTTTGTTTCAGTTTTCATTACAGATGTTTTTATATATTTACTCTGTTGCTATTTTTATATTGCTTTTACTTATTTGAAATCTGACTTTTTTCTGAATGTTTTTCAAAGTTATGGTGCGAGAGGCTTTGAATCATAGCTGCCTACCAAAGAATTGACGTAAAGACTTGGAATGATTATAATAATATTAATTTGTAGAATTTGTGTACTCTTATTTGAAAATTACCAATAATAATTTCATTTGTCTCCCTGAGTTCAGATCATGCATAAATCTATTCCAAAATATTAGGGAACAAATATTTGAATGTTTAAAGCAAAAGACATGACCAGTCGATTGGGTTGCTTAAATTTGTTCCATCATCGGTTCTCAGGATATTAGAATACCGGTATTGATATTCCTGGAAAAATTTGATTTTCAAAGGTATTGGAGAGGGGAAAATCTGTTAAAGATTTTTTTTTTTTCTTAAGAAAATTTGGTTAGTGATGCTTTGTTTCTTTAAAAGGGGGAGGGGTGTGTTTGGGTGTGTGTGTGCGTGAGTGTGTATGGTATTTATGTTTTTAGCTTTGCATGATTATATGCAAATTAGAGCTTCTAACATAATCCCAAGTATTGACAAATAAAGGCTGAACTTTTTTTAAACAAATGTAGCAGGCTGAAAGCTTACAATTTCAGGTGGAAATCTTTTTAAAAGTAAAAATATTTTCTTGCCATAGCTAAAAGGTGTAACTCATAAACTGCTGAGGTTGACACAATTATTTGTTAAGACCATTCATTTCATGTACAATCTAATTTGAAGTTTCATATCATTTTTTTTTTGGGGGGGGGGGTGGGGAGAAAGGTGCAAATTATTTCAATTCCTTAGTCACTCCACCATACCGACTCCAAACTAACTGACGGAGGTGTCGCGGTCTATGGGTATGTCATTGGACTGTGGATCACATGGTTCGCGGTTCGAGTCCTGCCTCGGCACTAATGTCCTTTGGCAAGATATTAATCTACATTTGCCACTCTCCACCCAGGTGAGGTAAATAGGTGCCTAGCATGAATGAACTCCGCGAAATGCTAGAGTGCTGAAAGCCAGTGTAATGATTGTGGAGTGCCAGGAGTGTCAAGTCTGACAGACACAAGTGTGATAGAAGAAACACACTATAATTATTATTATTCTTTACCATGCCAGGTAATGTTTGTTGTGGTTGGTTTGTTGGTGTGAGTGGAGAATCAGACTTAACAATTCTGCAAGAAATTACTTCATAGAAATATAACTTTACAAGAAAAGGGTATAAATACTTCGACTGTTATGCATGCATCATGTTGAAGTTGTTTTTTTGCTGAATTGATGCCAGTTTGCTTTCACTTTTATACATGTAGTTGCGCATGTAATCTTTTTAACATTCAAAATGGAGATACAAGTTAAATGGATAACCAACAAATTTAAGACTTGACAAAAATATTCATTTTTTAAAATATGTATCTCTATATTTCCAAGTTATGAGCTGTGTAAGAGTTTCTTTGCTGAATTTTCTGAGTTGTAAAGATAAAATTGAAAAGAAAAGATATGCACTGTTTTTGTGAAATAATATGTCATACATTTTCGCCTATCTTTACACATGATGATAATTTTTGATGCTCTTCAGTTTTATATATTTACACTTTCAGTAATTTATCTCTATTTATTTTTCTGTTTGCTTTGAATTTATTTTACTTGTACATAAATAGGAAAAACAAATTCATTATTAGAGAATGATTAGTGAATTTGATGTACCATATTTTTGTACACTGTGCAGGAGAGGCTTTGTACTATATTGTAAATTTTGTCATCCTATCTTGGACATTGAAAAATGCATTGACCAATGCTTCCATTGTGTTGCAATAATTCTCATTAAAAAAGAAAAAAGAGAACAAAGAATGAGAGAAAAATCATGATTAAATTATACAAAATGTCACTCTTCGGAGTTATGAAAAGAATCAGAAGAAGTAGAGGTATTTTATTTGCAGTCTTGGAGATATGAAGATGTTTGGTATGTTGTTGCAAGAGGTAGGGATCGAGACAGAGGAGATTGGCAAGAGGGAGGGATAGAGACAGAGGAGATTGGCAAGAGGGAGGGATAGAGACAGAGGAGATTGGCAAGAGGGAGGGATAGAGACAGAGGAGATTGGCAAGAGGGAGGGATAGAGACAGAGAGGAGATTGGGAGAGAGAGAGAGTAAAAAGAAATGAATCAATGACAATATGGATTTATATTAAAGTTTTGATTTTTCAGAGAGTGGGAGGGGGGGGGGATGGGTATGACTGTGTGCAAACAATTGAAAATCTTTATGAACAAGATAAAGAGTTAACGAATTTAAAAAAGTACAGTACATGTAGTTTGTACATGGATACATGTACAGTTTACTAACTAAATTATTCACATCCCTTGTAAAAAAAAAAAAATGGTTTGTTGTTGTTGTTGTTGTTGTTGTTTTTTTTTTTTTGGGGGGGGGGAGGGGGGTTGTTTGTACGTAAATCCAGAATGAAAGGTGGACTGATTGAATATTAGGGGCCTTTGTTGAATACCTTTAGCTGCAAGCCTTGATATATCACATTCTCAAGAAACACTATTCGGGACAAATCAATTCCCACATACTTAAAAAGGTACAAAACTTGATAAGGGTATGACAAATTTAGTTGTTAATTGCACATGTAGGCTACTGCAATATCTTACCAATAATGGGCAAGTGACCATTAAAGAGAGCATTGTAAACAATGAGCTAAGTGAAACAAAGACATTGTCAACAGTGAGCAAATGACAACAACAAATCGTAAACAAATGCGAAATAATTTCATTCCAAATCAGCTTTATTATTGAAAAATATCCATCACCTCTCAACAATAAAGAGTTTAAAGGTTAAATATCACAGCAATAAAATAGTATCTTTTCTTATTGCAACTCCTGATACAAAACACGAATAAACAGACAACACTTAATCTACTGGATATCATCTGGCACTTGGTATAGCATGAATAATTACACATAATTGAACATGAGTAAAATCAAACAAATGGTAATATTAAAACAACAAATAAAATTGATTTCTTTTAAAAGTGTTTGAAATAAATCCACGAGGCTTGCCCGTACACATTGTATGCACACTCTCCACTCCCTAGGGAGCATTCTAGGCAGGTGCACACCACTGACCAAACCACAATGATGTTCCCATCCTACCAGCGACCCATTTTACACCTGGGTGTAGAGAGGCAATGTAGATAAAAATGCCTTGCCTTACATGTAAGTGCCATGCCATAGATCAGAACACATGACCTCTCCATTTCTGGTCAAATGTTTTAACCCCTCAGTTACGACACTTTGCTGTTAAATTGATTTTGTTAACTTTTCATTTCTTTTTTATTTCATTTAACTTTTTTACTTTACCCTGGTAAAAACTACAATGGCAATCTCTCAATGCCATACATGATTTATACTATACAAGTAATATCAAACATATTTGAACAAGGAAAACTTGTCTTTCTCAAGTTCTCGTAATCTAAAACAAGTAATCAATTACAAATTTCGACACCATGGAACTCCCTTTTTATTAAGGAAATTTAATGAGAAATTATAAACTTGTCATATGAAATCTCATTTTTTAAATAATTTGCACAAATTTTGACAGTGAGAGAATTATGATTTAAAGATCAAGCCCCTACTTGGAATTCAATAACATCATGTATACAATAACCACATATCTCATAAACTCTGTAGACCTATACATCAACATATTAGGATCATGCACATTTGAATACTCAATCTCTTTTTGACAGTTTTTGATAGAATTCCCTATAGTTGAGCATTTGGCACTACTTTTGCATGCATACCATGTCCAATTTAAAGAATTTACTCTTTTTCTTAAAGTCATCTCCTGAAATAACCAGACAAATACATAACAAGGCTGTATTATGCTCTTAGATACTGATATCACCTGTGAAAGTCAAATATAAAGTATCAACAATGAAATCACGTGCAGCATATCTCTTCATGTTAATCCAAATGAAAACACAAAATACCCATGTAAATTGTGATACATATTATGCAAATGAAATTTACCACCTCAGATTCGTACAAACGCAGTGAACAGAATACTATAAAACTAATGATGATATAAATCATACAACATACAAATCATGATCAATACTGAGAATTAAAATATTGATATATCATACTTCATAATACAGTCCAACATGCTTTAGTTAGTGACCACCCGTATAGAAAGACCACTTTTTTCATTTTCATTGAATACCTAGTGTTTTTTACTCGAAAAATAATAAAAAAGCAATTAAAAATCATACAATTTTGGATGTTCATGTCAATACTAAAGGAGTATTAAGATCATGACAATTTTAAAAGGATTGCAATGTTAGTTCCTTGCCACTTTATGACAATTTTTTTTAATAAAGACAGTAAAATTAAATGAAATGCACTTTTTCACAAAGCGACTCCAAACTTTCCATGTCCATTGGTATTGCCAGGTATCCTTAATTCATCAAATTTAACACAATCTTCCCAGAAATTTAAGAAGTACAGCTGCTTTTGCGTAGATTTTAGACTACTTGATCAGTTGCTTATACCAGAACCTAAACAGATTCCACTCTAAAAATATATAATTTAAGACACTAAATCAAACTAGTCTATAATTCCCAGCTCTCTGCATTATGAGAGGAATTAAGAGTCACTCTTTACTGTATTCAAATAAAAGTTCAATTTAGTAGAACAGATATCATACAACCACCTGAGGTATCTTTTGACCTATGTACACCTAATAATTTCCATTTGATTTCAACAACCAATAATTTGTACACTATCAAAACAAAACCTCCCAGTAAATGTAAAAGTTTCATCTCTTTGGTCTGTCACAAAAAAGTAATCATAATAACAATTAAATCTTCAAGCTGCAATGCATTTTGTGTTACACAAATTGACAATGATAATAATGATGATAATGATGATTAAGTCTATACGAATTAGCAATTTTTTCAGAGGATTATAAGGTGCTGAATTATCAAACACGTGAGAAGAGAAAGTATGGAAGAGATAAAAGGGAAATTATGAGAGTTATTATAGAATCGCTCACTATCCATGTTTATCGTACATTTAAAGAGGTATGTTTGAATACGCAAGCATTAAAGTCACATATGTGCATTTGAACCCGTATCATTTGAGGCACTTTAATACTAATCAAACCTAAGGACCTGCAAATGTTTTTCACAGCCCATATAACATGTGAAATCTTCTCTTTGATAATACAGCAGTTGTACTGCAAACGCATCAATAATCAAAACTGAGGTTCACTTTGTCCTTTTTAACAGTTCAAAGTCATGTTTTCAAGTAACAATTAAATTCACTCTCATCCTAAAGTGTAGATTTCACTTTGCATTCATATTAACAAGAAAACAAAGAGATTTGTCGAAATGTTAGTTTTTTTTTTTTGTGTGACTCTTTTCTTTCCTTGATTTTGAATTATGGCCCAAAAAATAAATCTTAAGATATCATGGAAAGAAATGATCACTATCTTCACGTGGCCTCAAAACTAGCATGCAAGCTTTAGCCAAATCATGCATTTGTACAATAATTATTTTTATTCATTAAAAAGACCAAGGGATATCAACATATTAAGACTAGTAGAAACTGATTCAAAGGGAAATCTTCTTGGATTTGTGAAGATCACTTAACCTTCACTATTTGCAAAGTATTATCCACAACATGTATTTGTGTACCCCAATTCTTTCTATTTGCATTTCATATTTGATATCAAGGGTCAAAGGACACTTTGAGCGTCCCGTGATTAACCCGCTGACTACTGAATCAATTTATTGCCATAGGCTTAATACAAAGGCCACCTGGTTCCAGTAGGCAGTGGGTTAAAGCCCCACTGCACTAGTTTGGCCAGGAGGGATTATACCTCCCTGCAAGGTCACTGACAGGTGGTTATCTCATCAAATCAGCTCTCAATTAACATAAGAAAGAGGGGATCATGGGCGACCAATGGTCACCGATTAGGCATTGTTTTCTATAAAGAGGGCGCAAGTAGCTATAAGTAATGCAGTGGGGTTTTAAGATAGCCCACTTAACAGAGATATTATCTTGGCTTCCTTGGTGAAGATTACTCGCCCTTCTTCTTCTTGGCTTTGAGAGTGGATAGATCACCCATCAGGTTGCGGTTTAGGATCTTGGTGCCGCACATCAACCCGGCGTAGAGGGCGCCTGCAAAGCCACAAGTCATGATGTCCTGACCTGTATGGGGAAAAAAAGGCAGATAAGTGTTTAATTTATTTATTTACCAATCGTGGGATGGAACACCCTTATCATCATGAGTGCTGTTTTTCATAGGTGTCCACAATTCTCACCATACTCTATTAAATGAAAAAGGTATTGTGACTGTATTAAGCTCTGGCAGTGATACAGACATATACATTTTTACAAATGTGCAAAATAATTAATATTTTAAAATATATACCCTAAAAAGTGGTTGTCTCTGTAGAGAACCTCCTGGACTTATCTAAATTATATCCATTTCCATTAACTCTTGTATGACAGAGATATACATGTATATGTATGATGGTGAACTGAGGGTTTAGAAGTGGTCCAAGTTTTGAAAAAAATAGTCTCTACTGGAGCCCAGGCCTATAGATTTAGACCCTTTTCTCACACCTAAAATAGGGATTGGTGATGGTGGTTTCAGAAAAGAGAGCAGCCGTGTTTGAACAAAGAACAGAACTCTTTCTTTAATGTAGACCAAAACCCAATCCAATAGGCATGGTCCCAATGCTCTCCCTGTTCCAAGTTTTACCTGCAAAATCAAGATTTGGATGGGGGACGGGTCTGAGGGTTTTAAAGTAGTCCAGGGGGTGTTTCAAAAAGATCCTAAGTCGAACTAAACTCTATGTTGGACTTAACAATTATGGAAAGCTGTTAGCATCTTTGAAAATATTTT